CAGTCTACAACATTCTGAGGGAATCCTCAGTTATAAATATGATTGCATATTTACTGCAGATGTGTTTATGTCTCATTAGCTGTGAATAAAGGATAACATTTTTGCAGTGCTTGGAATGTGAGGAGTTGTACTCCATGTATCAGTGAGAGTCTGTTTGTAGTGGATGGTGATTTTTAAAGTGGAATCTATTGACTTCAAAGATATATTTTTAAAATGTTATGCTTGAGGCTGGGTAAAATGTGGGCAGTGGTGGATCAGTGGTTAAGGCTCTGGATTACTGATCTGAAGGTTGGGGGTTTAAGCCTCAGCACCACCAAGCTGCCACTGATGGGCCCTTGAGCAAGGCCCTATCTGCTCCAGGAGTGCCATATCATGGCTGACCCTGTGCTCTGACCCCAACTTCCTAAAAGCTGGGACATGCAAAGAAAAGAATTCGAGTGTGCTATAATGTATATGTGACAACTAAAGGCTTTTTCTTAGTATTAAAAACGTGGAAAAGAAGGAAATAAAGATCTGGCGCTCCTCAACTGTTCAGTTAGCAGTGCTAAAGATGTCATCGATGTACCTGAGAAATATTGTGGGTACATATCCAGTAAATTGTTCCAAGAACCTTTGCTTAATAAATCCAATAAAGAAGTTAGCATAGCAGGGCCTGATTTTAGTGCCCATATTAAAGCCTCTGACTTTGGAGTAAAACTTGGAATTGAAGCTGAAGCAAAAGTGTCAGCACAAACTCTGATAATCTTAAGCTTACTGCTGCTAAGTTAAAGTGTCCCAATTTATCTGATATCCAAATAAACCTGAATTCACCCTATGTTAAATATTGTGGTAAATGCTAGATCTCTGATCTCAATTTAAAAGTCATTAAACACTACATAACTGTGAGTTATTCCTACCAATAATGTTTTCACTCTTCCTGTGGTTATTGTAGGACCTGTCTCATGTCATCAGCTGCAAAACTTTTTGAAGACAAGAACAAAACAAATTCTTGGTCAACAGTGGAAGCAGAGCCTGCAGTTCTATGGAGGAAAAGTACAAGAAAACTTCACCTTTATTCCTCTGGTGTTGGATACAGACACAGAAAAGAATACAGCCCATAACAAAATCATACTCAAGAGCAAGAAATCTAAAAAGTCCCGTTCAAAAAAGATGAAGGCCTACATACCAAGAGACACACGGGGAAAATCCCCTGAAGATTTGCTTAATAGCAGGGAGAAGAATGTCCTCATAGTAGGAAAACCTGGAATTGGGAAGACAACAGTTGTTCAACAGATGTTGCATCACTGGGCAGAGAGACATGACAGAAACCTTGATTTTGTGTTTTATTTTGATGAAAGCACACTGTCAAATACCTCAACTATAGTTAGCTTAGACAATCTTCTGCTTAGCACATTTATAATGTCAAATCCACAGCTTAAAGAAAATGCTGAAGAAATTTTGCAATATCTTCAAGAATATTCTGAAAGAGTCACTATTGTTTTTGATGGAATCATAAATTTTCTGGACAACACGATTTTGCTGGGGATCAAGCAACATGAACTTCTGCCTGAAGCAAAGATTGTGGCAACATGCAGGCCTGAAGTAGAGTATGAGCTCTCTGACTGGCAAACATGCAAAGTGTATGTTAAGGGATTTAGTGAAGAGTCAATTTATGATGTTTTTAGGAAAATATCAGATAATAATCCAGACTTGGTAGACAGTGTAATAAACAATCCTGCACTCTTCAGTCTCTGCCACATCCCTATATATGCTTTCATGATGGCAGCCTGCATTTCAAATCACACTTCTGAAGAAGCACAGAAACCATGCACAGCTAGTGAGCTGTATGTACAAATATTTTGTCACTGTCTACAGAGACATGAAAATAAGAAATTGCAGCACTTAGATCGACACATTAAAAACTGCAGAGACACGGTCTTATCTTTAGCAGAGAGTGCTTTCAGTGCAACCAAGTTAAAAACGATCAACCTGGAGTTTGATTATGATGAGAAAGGCATTGCTGGTGCTTTCCTGAGGTCAGTCTCGGTTGGGTCACCAGCATGTGCCAAGCCATTTTGTGCATTTCTTCACAACACAATGCAGGAATTTTTTTCTGCCATCTGGCTTCTAGAAAAAACAGAAATAGTTGATGAGGTACTACATCTGTGCCAGAATGAAGACAGTAAGCACATGAAACATGTAATTCCTTTTCTGTGTGGACTTCAATCACAAACCAACATTGATCATCTGAAGTGTCTCTTTCCATTGAACAAAGTCAAGGAAAATATTGATGGTTTCTTTGAGAAGGTCTTAAACACTTTTCTCCATGATGAACCAGATGAAGAAACTGTTGACATTGCCTTCATATGTCAGTGTCTGTATGAATTTCAGTCACCTGAAACCTGTTGCTCATTTCTAGAGAGAATAAACTATCATCTAGATTTGAGTGAGGACCATCTCGACCCTTACACATGCTGTGCTGTATCCTATGTAATCAGCCAATCCAGTAACAAACAGGTTCATCTTGATTTGGAGAACAGTGCTGTGTCTCTCTCAGGGCTGAAGACAATTCTCAAACATTCACGCTATCTAAGGTATTAATATTCAGTATTGATACAATATGGTGGTGGCTCATTATGATAGTGTTTTAAAACAGAAATAATGAGTATTACCTGAATATGTGCCTTAGGTCTCCATTTTCAATTGACTAAAACATTCAGCATTATAACAGTACAGTAATTGAAACTTTATAAAGACTAACTGTGTGTGTCATCCATTCAGTCTCCAAACCTGCAAGACCCACAAAGTTCGGGCATTGAAAAATGCAACTGCATTTTTATACTTTTCTCAGGCTTTGTACCTTAACTGACTATTCTGAGTAGACAATCAGCCAGGAATAGTTGTCTTAAAGTAGGAGAGAGAAGGGGAGGGTGTGTGTGTAAGAGTTTATGTTTTCATCTGTGTTGTCTCTGCAATGGTATTATTGCCATGCAGTATGCTGATACGCTTTTCTGTATTTTTAAATCCCTGTAGTGGAAAGTAGAAATTTATTAAGTATTTCTTCTCATGTATTATAAGCAGTGTTTTAAGACATATAGCTTACTTTATTATGAAGTATGTTGAATGACATGCAGACGAAACAGGAGCACTGTATCGAACGTTATGACGCTACACTGATCAGCCATAACATTAAAACCACCTGCCTAATATTGTAGGTCCCCCTTATGTTGCCATAACAATAGCTGTGGTATCTGGCACCAACATGTTAGAAGTAGATCCTTTAAAGTCCTGTAAGTTGCAAGGTGAGGCCTCCATGGATCAGACTTGTTTGTCCAGCATGTCTCACAGATGCTTGATCAGATTGAGATCTAGGGAATTTGGAGGCCAAGTCAACACCTTGAACTCTTTGTCATGTTCCTCAAACCATTCCTGAACAATTTTTGCAGTGTGGCAGGGCACACCACACACAGGGAATACTGTTGCCATGAAGGGGTGTACTTGCTCAGCAACAATGTTTAAGTAGGTGATGTGTCTCAAAGTAATATCCACATGAATGCCAGGACCCAAAGTTTCCCAGCAGAACATTGCCCAAGGCATCACACTGCTTCTACTGGTTTGTCTTCTTCCCATAGTGCATCCTGGTGCCATCTCTTCCCCATGTAAGCAACGCACACGCACCTGACCATCCATATGATGTAAAAGAAAACGTGATTCATCAAACCAGGCCACCTTCTTCCATTTCTCCATAGTTCAGGTCTGTTGCTCACTTGCCCATTGTAGGTGCTTTTGGAGTAGGACAGGGGTCATCATGGGCACTCTGACTGGTCTGCGGCTATGCAGCCCAGTACGCAGCAAGTTGCAATGCACTGTGTGTTCTGACACCTTTCTATCGTAGCTAGCATTAACTTTTTCTGCATACTACTGCGTACTAACCACTGCATACAGGGAACACCCCACAAGACCTGCCGTTTTGAAGCTCTGACCCAGTCACATCACAATTCGGCCCTTGTCAAAGTCACTCAGATCCTTTCGCTAGCCTATTTTCCCTGCTTCCAACACTTTGAGAACTGACTGTTCACTTGCTGCCTAATATATCCCACACATTCACAGGTGGCATTGTAACCAGATAATCAATATTACTCACTTCACCTGTCAGTGGTTTTAATGTTATGGCTGATTGGCATATATGCCATATTATTACAACCATATATGCTGTATATCACAATATATGAAACAAAAAACTCTCTAAGTGTATATTATATATGTAGGCGTGTATATATGTGTATGTGCATATATATAAAAGTTACTTTCAGATTGTGTTTTTTTCCTGTCTCACAGGGATTTATCAACAACACTGTGTCAAGTCTGGACAATCGCCTTGAAGTGTGAGGAACTGAATTATCTGATACATCTCCTGCAATTATGTGGAAATGAGATTCACATCCCAATGAGCAGTCAAACAGATGTGCTTGAGCAAGCTGGAAAAATTATAATTCAAAATGCAGAGCAAACAAATCTCCGTTTACACTGTGATAAAGACCCACAACAACTCACACATCTTCTCTTTAACACAGTGTTCTCATGGCTGCCGCACATCAGCTCTCTCCAGTGAGTAACTCATGAAAAAAAAAACTCTACTAAATTTAATTTCTCAAATGCATGTATTGCTAAGTCAAATAAATGTCTCCTAACAAAAAACATCACCACATCAATGATTATAAGAATTAAGAATTATAAGAATTAAAAACCGCCCATATTAAATGAATTCATTATTAGTCTTAGATTATGTGGATTATCTGCTGTACAAGTCCCTGTGCAGTTACTATAGAAACAATAACATGTTACAACAAGCACATTAATATTAACCTGTCATTCATGTTACAGCTGGAACTACCTGTGCTGTTATACGAAAATAATGCATACCATCTGACCAATCAGAATCGAGCATTCTACTGCTTACATATATTTTCTAGAAATGTATGTAAATTGTGCCTAAACATGTGCCTCTTAAAGCTTGTATAAGGGTCCAGCAAGGATTGAATTCTGAACTCCTAGTTTATAAGACCAGTGCTCTAACCACTAAGCTTTGGAACCTTTGTTAGAGAGAGTACATGATAAATCTCAACGTTTAATGTCAATGAGAACCACAACACCTGATTCAATATGGTATCCACTGAGTACTCTTATTTAGACCATGGGAAACTGTGGCCTGTCTACAAGCCCTTGGTTAATTAAATTCTCTGCTGCCTACTCTATACTCTGAAAACAGAAAGGACAAGTGAACAGTTTTCATCTGGCTAGTGGGCATAAGTAGATGGCAGGGATGGCCACAAAGATAGCTTAGCTGAGCAGCTAAGTCAAGTAAAATATTTTTTTCATTCTGCTATATAACCTGTATACAGTGGAATGAAATGTTTCCCCAGGACCATGCTGCAACACCTAAAACAGTGGCACAATACACAGGACTACATAAAGTGCAAATACACAACAGGATGAGATGAGTGCAAACAAAAACTAGACAGAACAATGGAACAGTGTTGAGTGGAAAAAAAACTAGTGCAAAATTATCTGTAACAATTGACTGTGATAGATAGCAGCAATCAATTGTAGTAACAGTGATGAAAGAGTCGTAATAGTAGAAGTGTCCAATAGCAGCGATTATAAAAATTGCAGGTGTGCAGTGATGGATATACAGTAGTAGCTGATGAACAGTTTTGATTGGTGAGTGTTGGGAGGCAGCAGTGTGTTGAGTATTTTGACTGCCTCAGGGAAGAGTCAGAGTCTTGTGGTGGTGGCACAGATGCTTCAGCACGAGATGGCAGAAGGGTGAAAAGAAGGGTGAAAAGTGCATGAGAGAGGTAGGAGGGGTTGTCCACAAAGCTGGTGCCCTTGCAGATGCAGCGGTTGTTGAAGGTGTCGTCAATGGTGGGTAGAGAGATCCCAATGATCTTAACTGTCCTCAAAATCTGCTGTAGGGTCTTGTGGTCTGAGTGGTATGTGCAGCTCCCATACCAGAGGGTGAGACAACTGGTAAGAATACCATCTGTTGTCCTTCTGTAGAAGGTGGTGAGGATAGGAGGGGGGAGGTTAGTTCTCTTTGAACTCCACAGAAAGTGCAGATGCTGCTGGGCCTTCTTGCCTAGGCAGGTGGTGTCCAGGAGAGGTCCTCTGTGATATGCACACCAAAAAACATGGAGCTTTTGACTCTCTCTAAAGTTGTTCCATTGATGTGCAGTGGCAGTGGGCTACTCGAGTCCTGAAATCAACAATCAACTCTTTGGTCTTGTTGACATTAAGAGGTAGATTATGTCTCTACACCATTCTGCAAGCTGGTTCACCTCCCTGTATGCCTATGCTGTAACTGTAGTATCCTCAGCAAACTTGATGTAAGCAAACTTTGCAGCACAGTCGTGAGTCACCAGTGTAAACAGCAGTGGACTGAGCACACAGGGTGGGGTGCGCCTGCATTCAGTGTGGTGGTGCTGAAGGTGGTGTTGCCGATCCTGAAGGACTAGGGTTTCCCAGTCACAGAGTTAAACCCCAGCAAGATCAGCTTTTCTGTTAGTTGCTGTGGGATGATTGTGTTGAATGCTGAACAGGTCTATGAACAGCATCCTCACATAATTGTCCTTTTTGTCCAGGTGGATTAGAGACAGGTTGACTCTGTTGGATCTAGATTCATACCACTAGTATTGTTGATGCTATAGTGTTGTTTGGAAGTGTTTGTTCGTCTATGCTAATAATTTCTCTCAGGTGGCTAATCAAGAGTAGTTTCAGTCTCCCTTAAGGTGTGAATTGTGGGCAGGGTATATTGAAGGTTATCCACTACCAGTCAGAAGCAAATTCTGCAATGGTTAGAGGTATAAATTTAGTTAGAAAGTGTTAAATTTAGTATTGTTTATCTCTTCTTGTTCAGTTAGTGTTACCAGTTCCCTGGCTGACTAGGCTGCGGACATGTGCCTCAAACCTATCTGTCATAACATCTCATAGATCCAGAAGCTTTCATCCACAAACCAGAGGCCAAACTACCAGTAACCTTATCTACCCTCCACTGTTGTCTCAGTCTCAAACAGCAGTGGTAGGTGGGCTCTGGAACTGCCAGTCTGCTGTAAAGAAAGCTGATTTCATCTCAGCTTTAGCTTCCAATTACTCACTTCACTCTCTGAGACCTGAGACCTGGATCTCTCCACAGAACTCTGCTACACCACCTGCTCTATCCTCTGCTTATGCTTTCTCTCACCCTCCATGAGAAACTGGCAGGGTGGTGGTACAGGTTTGCTGTTGTCTCAGAGATGGTGCTTCACACCTCCCCCTGTCTCAACATCTCATCCTTTGAATTTCATGCAGTTACACTTACCCTTACCTCTCTGATCAACCTTCTCATCATTGTCATCTACCACCCTCCTGGTCCCCTAGGAGACTTTCTTGAAGAAATGGACACACTCCTCAGTTTTTCCCTCTAGACAGCACCCCTGTCACTGTCCTCTGAGACTTCATCCTCCCCTTCAACAAGCTCCAGTCCTCTTGCCTTCTCCCTCTTGTGCATTCCTTCTCCCTGACATTCAACAGCTGCCCTTCCACACAGAAGGGAGGAAATGTCCTGGACCTGGTCTTCAGTCACCCCTCTCCAGCTACAGACATCAGTTCTACCCCACTCCACATCTTCGATCATCATTGGTATACTTCATCATCACACACCCTATCCTGCCTAAAATCATCTATCAATACTTCTCTCTTCCACTCTATCTCCCCTTCCTCTGTAGCTTCCTGCACCCTATCACCTCTTCCAGACCCCAACTCCTCCCCTTCATCACTACTATCATTAATGGCTCCATAACATCTGGTCATGTACCAACTGCATTCAAGAGAACAAGGGTTATTCCCATCCTGAAGAAACCTACTCTGGATCCCTCAGACATCAGCAACTACCAACTGGTATCACTTCTATCTTTTCTTTCTAAAACCCTTGAATGCACTGTCTACAGTCAACCGTCTCTCTACCTCTCACAGAACATCCTCTTAGATCCTAACCAGTGTGGCTTCAAAGTGGCACATTCCACAGAAACAGCCCTTGTGGCCATCACTGAGAAGCTCCATGCTGCTAGATCAGCCCAACTGCCATCAGTTGTCATCCTCCTTGACCTTTCAGCAGTGTTTGACACAGTCAAAAACAAGACTCTCTTGTCTATCCTCATGAGTCTTGGAATTTATGGCACAGCATGGCAATGGTTTGCTCCTACCTGGAGGGTCAGTCATATAAGGTGACATGGGGGGGATCCACATCTGCTCCACACAGAATCTCCACTGGTGTCCCACAAGGCTCAGTACTTTGTGAAAATGAATCCCAGCAAAACTGAACTGCTGTTCATCCCAGGTGATTCATCCCCACGGGAGGATCTTGTGATTTCCCTGGACAGCTCTCAGCTCTCAGACCTTCTGTCACTGCATGCAACCTTGGGGTAACCATGGACAATCAACTGTCCTTTGCCTCTCACATTGCTAATCTGACTCGCTCATGCTGATTTCTCTTACACAACATCAGAAGGATTCGTCCATTTCTATTCACACAGGCCACTCAGGCGCTTGTTCAGTCCCTTGTCATTTCAAGACTGGACTACTGCAACTTGCTCCTGGCAGGATTGCCTCTGAGCGCCATTCGACCTCTGCAACTGATCCAGAATGTAGCCGCACGACTTGTTTTCAAACTTCCTAAGTTCTCCCACACCACCACATTGCTACACTCCCTCCACTGGCTTCCTGTAGCTGTCCCCATCAGATTTAAAACACTAATTCTTGCCTACAAAGCCGAAACCCGACCAGCGCCTGCCTTCCTTATCACACTTCGCACTGCATCATGCTCCCTCCGATCCTCTAGCACTGCTTGACTGGTTCCACCATTGTTCAGGGTGCAAGGAAGGCATGCATCAAGACTCTTCTCTGTTCTGGCACCAAGGTGGTGAAATGAACTTCCCCTAGATGTCCGAACAGCTGAGTCACTGGCAGTCTTCAAACGATTACTAAAGACCTACCTCTTCCTGAAGTAATTCAATTATCAATTCATTATAAAAAATTGTGTTGTCTTATGAAGTCTTTCCTATTAAAAGATTGCAAAAAAAAAACAAATCTAAGATTAATAAAAACTATTTCTAGACGTTTTTTTTCTAACTTTAAGCTTGAAATGGTCCTGCTTGCGGACTATTATATTTGGCTGTGTGTGTCTGTGTGTGTTGTTCTCTATGTTGTGTACTGTAATAATGTGAGTCTTTCACTTTTCTCCAGCTTTGACTCTAAAGAGGGAGAGAAAGAACGAGAAAAGAGATGGAGAATATTTAAACTGGATTTGTGTCTGCAAGCCGCTCTACACCAACCACAAAACATCCAGCAAACAGTGCAGAAAGTGATCCCTTATAATTATGAAGAACAGAGTGATTTCCTGCTGGATCTGTACTCACATGTGAAGCAGTATGAGAGTAACACAGGCAGGAGTGTCCTTCCAGCATTGCTGCCAGTTTACCAGTCAGTTCCTGCAGTCTGGTCCATAAATCTCTCAGAGAGAAAAGCCTCCCTCCTCCTAGAAGTGCTGAAACTCCAAACAGAGAAGAAACCAGTGGAGCTGAGAGACTGCTCAGATGAAGAGAGTGAAGTGAGGAGTTTCCTTCAGTGTCTGCCCTACATCTCACACCTCAGGTTTAAAGAGTAAGTTTTTACAGTTTTCTCAGACTTGCTTTAGTGCTCTGTGCTCCACAGCTGATAAAAGCACTGTTTTTGTTTTGAAGTGAAATATTCCTGCAGATAAATATCACCATTTTTAAAATAAAATATCTGGTTCTGAAAAGGAACAAAATGATTGTGATCTTAATCTTTTATGTTGTCAGTCCTGAAATGTGAACAATCAGTTCAAACCCTGACTTCATTCTATTTACTGTTAACTTGTTTCTTCTAATCCAATTTTTAAATCTAGTTTTTTTCTACTTGAATCTAATGATTCCTGAAGTGGTGGGATACAGTGCAGCTTGTTATAGTATGCAAAGGGGACAAAGGGAATGCAAAAAGAAAAAAACAGCCAAATCTACACTTTCATTCATCGTTATTAA